CAACACTAATACTTGGGGCAGATCCCAGTTTCAAATCCCACTTCCCCAACGGAGGTGAGCATCCAGTGAATTTGGTCTCACTTATACTCCTTTCTCAATCCTTCCTGCTGCGTATTGCAATGTTCTTCATGTCTGTGTTTCAAATTTGAGATAAATGAACCAGGATCCTAGCAGAAGAATGTGTGTGTGTGTGTGTGTGTGTGTGTGTGTGTGTGTGTGTGAGAGAGAGAGAGAGAGAGAGAGAGCTCTTAAGGGCAGGAAACTCTGGAAGTTGCTTAGGCTAGCTGATGGTGCTTGGGCTCTTTGACAAGTTTGACTTAGCTCATCTCTTTGTTCCTGTCCTGGTCTCGACTTTCCATTGTTATAGGATGCCAGTGTCAGCGTTGGTGAAGTTGCTTCCAGTTGGAAAACATCCCTATTTCACAAAGAAGAAGGTTGAGGATGGTAAGTGAATGGAGACAATGGAATGACCCCAGATGTTATGTGCATTAGATCTTGTTGAGAATGACTGAAAGAGCAAAGTCCGAGTATCTCTCTGCCTGTCTAATCCGGGTATTACAGAGTGGTTGGTTTTAAATCCAGGACCTCGTTCTTTCCTTTACCAAGAAATCAATTAATTGTAATTTAATTCAAATTTGATCTACATTGTACATCGCATTCGAGGGCCCATCAAGAGTTCCCCAAGGCCCAAACCAGCACTCGCTGTACTGTTAGCAAGGTATTCTGCAGAGGCCCATTTGGGGCCTTTTGGGCCCAAAATCAGCAATGCCAATGAGATTGCTGATATCATCTGATAAAATTACCCCCTCTGGGAGAGAGCCCCTCCGGTCAAACCCGGATTGGACTGAAACATTTCCAAAAATATTGGTAGGTGGTGATAACTGACGAAAGGTATTGCGGTGCATCTAGTTGTTTCAGGAAGCAAGTGTTCAGCCATAAAGAACATCATGTCCATGTGGCGGCTTCCACGGAGAAAATTGTTCTGGCTGCTTGGTGTAGAATGCCGAGTGTACGACCGATCAAAGGGGTGCAGCATTCAGAACACCTCAGAGAATCTGTTGAGGTGTGCAAAAGAGGATAGCGACGCCGCATACCGGCTCAGGAAGAAGACCGTATCAGGAAGAAGGGTCCTATTCCAATCACCCGGTAATGACAGTTTTTTCACCGCCAGAAGCAATCAGGGCAGAGAGCGAAGAAGATCGAGCCCTCTTGGCTGGCGCATCGGGGCATGTATATTAAAAACTGCCCAGTCCCTTGATCGAACCCGGAGCCTGATCCACATCCATTTACCTTTATCATCCCAAGAGTAGTGTATTACATGGAATAGAAACGATCTGACCAGCCGAATTGCAACCCCGCCCCTGGAACCCCTGGGCTGAGGCCCTAAATTGCAGGTCAGACCACCCCCCTATCTGTTCGGTCACAGGTTCGCTGTCCACCTTCGTTTCTTGAAGCAACAAAATTTAGGTTCCCTTATAAGTTGGTCCAGACCAGCTATGGGCGGAGGTTGTGCTGCCCTGTAACCCGTGCTTGTCGGGGGCATGAGGCCTGGTAGAGAAATATGGGGAAGTGGCAGCGTCAGCGGACTCCGAGGCTCATTTTGGTTTGTTGGGCACTGCAGTGATGGTGTATCCTTCTAGTAGATACACCGTCAGTTGATCTTGTTCACCCCAGATTCCTTCTCCTTGTTGGGGGCGCAGGGGTTGGCGGTATGTGCCATCAGATTGCGCATGTATGGAGTAAGATGGGGAGGCGTGTTATCTGTAATATTCCCTCCCATGTTTTGGCTAAAACGGGCGTAGGCGGTTGTTGATTGGGTGCAACGCGTCCTGACAGTGCCTTTGTGCCACCCCAGGATGGTTGGAGGGGCATAGCAGCATCGGAGATGGTAGCTCTGTTGTGATAAGTCTTGCCGGATTGGGAGTTTGGGGGTAGGAAGGAGGGTCGGAGGGTGGCATAGTGTCCCTGTGTAAAACTCTCTATTTATTATTTAATTTAGCCTTTGGCTGGATTTCTTTCGCAAGCATAAACATTTGTACTCGTGAATTCTTCGGTAGAATTTCTCAGTTGTTCAGAAGGTTTCCAAAAAACGCTCGGCAGTTTTTTCATAATATTCCTCTTGTTCTCAGCCGAAGCGGGTAATGGCCCCGGTATCTCAAATCGTTCTGTACGTTTTTGTAAGGGGGAACACTTGGCCCAGTTCCCTGCACATGCTGCTCCCCATGAATAGATTGGAGCATTGTTCCCAAAGAAAAAGAAAGAAGCAGCTACTACTACTTGACAAGCTACTACTTGACAAGGGATCTTTTCGCTGCTACCCCGCGAGATCATTATCCCCGAATGTTCCAAGATGTTATTTTGATTTTGTCTAGGCTACCAGCCAGGCTGCCCGGGTCACCCTGTTTTCCCGGGCGGCCCGGCCGTTCAAGGACCAGGAAAGGTCCCAGCAAAAAAAAAAAAAAGAAAAAAAAAAAAGGAATCCAAAACGTCCGAAAACAAGCTATGTTATGCAGACAAATGAACTGAACAACTTTTGCCACAGGTTCACATCGAAATTCTTTAGCACATTCAAAAAAATATATATATATATTTTGTATTTTAAACTGAGTACGGATCCGGGCCGCCCGGTCGACCGGCGCCTGCCCGGGAAAGGTCCCGGGCGGCAGGGCCGGGCGGGCGGCCCGGTTGGGGGCCCCCCCCAGCACACCTTGTTGGCGGGGGGGTTCTGACCCTGAATCGGCGAGATTTCGTCTTCCCAGGGCCTACCGGGTCCGACCACGCCGAGAAAACGGCGTGTCGGGCCTGTGAGGCCTGTTTTTTTTTTTTGAATTTGGGACGGCCCTCTGGCCGTTGATCATCCATGATCGACGGCCAGAGGGCCGTTCGTTTTTGGAGAGAAAACGGAGGCCCCATTTGAACAAGCGACTGGCTGGGGCGGCCTGCATTGGCTGTCCAAACGGGGCCTCGATACCAGCTCCAGCCGCCTGCGTTCGTCGTCGAGTCGCCCGTCGTTGAAGTAGCTGCCCCTCGTCGCCATCTCCTGGGAGCTTCACTCGCCCATCATCGTCGAGTCGCCCGTCGCCAGCGTTGTCGATAGCGGTGCTCCTGCCTGCCGACAACCCCTGCCGCCCATCGACGTGGAGTGTTGGTCTGTTCTTCTTCTTCTTCTTCTTCTTCTTCTTCTTCTTCTTCTTCTTCTTCTTCTTCTTCTTCCCTCCTCCTCCCCCTCCGCTCATTCTTCTGATTCTTCTTCTCTCCTCCTCCTCCTCCTCCTCCCCCTCTCATCATGTTCTTCTTCTTCTTCTTCTTCTTCTTCTTCTTCTTCTTCTTCTTCTTCTTCCTCTTATACCTCTTCTGCTTTTCTTCTTCCATGACTTCTTCACTCCTCCTCCTCCTCCGCCTCATCATCTTCTTCTTCTTCTTCTTCATCTCTCGTCGTCCACCCCTCATCTTCTTCTTCTTCTTCTTCTTCATCTCTCGTCGTCGTCCTCCCCCTCATCTTCTTCTTCTTATTCTTCTCTCCTCCTCCTCCTCTTCCGACTATCTTCTTTTTCTTCTTTTTTTTCACATTCGTTAGCGATAGGTCGCGAGATAAACGACAGGTAAGAAAAGAAAAGAAAAAAAAACTGCTCCGCTCGTCATCTTCTTCTTCTCCTTCTTCTTCGCCGATGTTTCTTCCGCCTCTTGTCTCCTCCTCCTCCTCCCCCTCTCATCATCTTCATCTTCTTCTTCTTCTTCTTCTTCTTCTTCTTCTTCTTCTTCTTCGTCTTCTTCTTCTTCTTCTTCTTCTTGTAGGACCGCCGCCACAGCCCGCCGCCATACCCCGCCACCATACCATACCGCCCTGCCGCCGCCGCCATCTTCTTCTTCTTCTTCTTCTTCTTCTTCTT